TGCCGACTGAAGTTGGGGGTGCGTTTATTATGCGAGTGCATTCATTACGCGAGTAAATATTGCCACGTTTTTTCTTCAAGTTTTCTTATCACCCCGTTACCCTGTACGCAATTTTAAGCACAAACCTCAGCGCCGCTAGCGATAACACTAGAATGTTCGATGGCAAGTGTATAAATGCCGACACGCTTCACGGCTTGTCAGTGGATCGACGGCCGACGCTCCGTTCACCGCTACCCCTGCAAGACTGCTACTGTAATCTGACTTTTCGTTTGCCGGGCACAGGTTTGCCCAAATAAACAGTTGGATCTGAACATACAGTCTCCTGTCTTCGGCCACGTCGCAACCTCGTGACAATATGGTAAGATCTGAGTTCGGATGACCAACGGTATGAATACTGCAAGACACTGCTACACCATGATAGTGGTAGCTCTCAATTTTCACAGGGAACATAGCACAGCCCTTTTAGCACACTCTGCCATTTTATATATGACAAAGCAATCATAAAACTGGTGTTGTGATTGTGACAAACTAAAAAAAGTTTTGCGAGTGATGAGCAATCTTCACTGTTCTCGACAAGAATACGTACCGTTGTCCACCAAAGTTTGTGGGATATGCAGCACATGTTGGAGCTCCGGCAAAAGCATGTTAGCTGAGGTAATCAGCGATGCCATGGCCAATAGCCTCAACATCTATCGTGTGGCAGATGGTGCGGCAATGCAATATTCCTGCACTCTGCCACATGCAGCAGATTCCGCAAACTTTTGCAGCTGGGAGTGCCTTCAGGTGTAAGTACATCGCACATCTGCTTTGCGCCTCTGTCTATCTTGACGTGACAACATTCAGATCAATTTTTCAAATGCTCTTTACATTGTAATTACAGCTTGGTCTGAAGCTTTTCAGATGTTCTTTCAAAAGAAGCAGGCGCTAACTTGGCGATTTGTCACCACTAATGCTTAGGGACGTTTCAAATGCCAATATTATGTGCAACAGGCTTTGAGTAATCAAGAAATTATGGAAAGCATATGACACAACTTGTGCCAGCAGTAGACATTCTGGTACTCAATGACATAGAAAGCTTTAAGTACAAAAAATTACTAGTACTCAAAACCACCCATGATAAAAAAGGACATTGCAGTGCATCGCACAATAGTATGAAGTACAGCTTGTGCATTTCAGTTTCACTTATGACAAAAAGAACTTCGATGCTTCCTTGAATAGTTCAGTTTTCGCCATGTTGTGCTCCGCTGTAGCTGACTGTCTGGAATGTAAGGGGGGCACGGTGATTATTGTTGCGTCGCAGGTCCCCTCTCATAGGCTGGTGGTTTGAATTGTATGAACACTATATGTAGACCACGAACAAGTGATATGCTTCAGAACTAAGCCTTTCCTTGGCAGTGAACAAGCACTACGGGGATTTTGGAATGTTATTTCAAAAATACGTGCTGAATTAATATTTCCCCTTAGTGTCTGTCCCTTTTAAATGCTCACAAATTGAGCATTTCACTTAAGCTATACAATGATTCATTTGTTAAGGGGAGATGCGAGTCGAAAAATCGCGTTTTTAGCGAAATTTCTCATATTTCCTGATATTTATTGCATTGTAATCTTCAAACCTCCTTCTCTCATCTGTGAAAATTTCAAAACTAAATTCGAACCGCAAAATGCAAAAAAATGTGTATGAAGGCATCGCGGTGGCTCAAAATTTCGTGAATTTGCGCCGATATTGGCCATCTTTGACTGCGCGCTGCTCCCCGTCGCAGTGCCGCCCGCCATCGCGATCGGTTGGGAAAGTTGCGTCTGGCCTTCTTCTTACAGCTCCGACGACCGCCAGTTTCGTATGTGGGCAAAAAAAAAAAAAAACGAGGCCTCTTTATCACGTGGTTTGAGCTGGTTTGAAACGCGCAGGCACCCTAAGCCGCATCGCCATGGCTACCGAGCCATTGTCAGCTGTGTTGGTGGCGGCCATCGGCATTTGGTCCAGTCTGCTTTTCTGCGCGTCTACGCATATTTCCGCGATGACAAGCCCGAAAAAGTGCAACAGTGAGAACGCAGAAGTTTCCAACGAAGCACAAGTTCAAGGGAAGGCGGCGTAAAGCTGCCCCGAACGGACGGCGACGAACGAGAACGCCCCTACGTGTGCTAGGCCTGACGGCGGCATCGACGAGTACGCGAGTGACAGTGGCTGCGATGAAGGGATTGACGCTGCGCTTTCTTTCGTCGAGTGCTTCGGAAAAGAAGCTCGGCTTCTTACGAAAAAGACGAAAGACAGCGCGATGAGGTTTGTGCAACGACAGTTTTGTGCGACACCCTCTTGCTGACGGCACTTGTGGCAGGTGCGGCATGCCCTGCTTGCGGTATTCAAAAACTTGCCGTTCGGGAGCCGGCAGAAAAGCGCAAGGGACTTTCGTCGCTCCTCGAACTTCATTGCGAAAACAGCGAATGCTCAGCGACTGTTCTTTCGTGCTCCTATACGTCACTGCGTGTTACGGCGGACGGCAGCAGCCGAGTGAGCAAACGGTACGACAGTGAGAGCTCCCGAGATAGTTTCGCTGTAAATGTGAAGGCGGTGGTGGCTGCATGCGCTGTCGGCATTGGGCATGAGCAATTGTCGAGATTTTGCTCCATTATTGGACTCCCAAAGCCAATGCACCACCGAGAATTTTTTTCGATAGCAAAGAAGGCGCACACCGCTGCCATGGCAGCTGTGAGTGAAAACTTGCGCCGATCCAGAGAGTTGACGAAAGAAGTAGCAGGCGAAACTGATGTGGCTGTTATGTTCGACGGCACTTGGCAGAAGAGGGGCCATAAAAGCCACAACGGGATTGGCGCAGTTATCTCCTTAGATACTGGCCTCTGCTTAGACTTCGAGGTCATATCAAATTACTGCATGACATGCAGTAGGCACAAGGATATGGGCCCAGACGAGGAAGTGTGGCAGGCATTCCATGGCCCAGTCTGTGAAAAAAATGCAGACTGTTCCTCCCATGCCATGGAAACAGAGGCTGCAATGCGCATTTGGCAGAGAACATTGACTTATGACACCCCACTGCATTTCATGACATTCTTGAGTGACGGTGACAGCAAAGCATATAGTGCAGTTGCAGAGTCAAAAGTCTATGGTGCTGTCAATATAGAAAAAGAAGACTGCACTAATCATGTGGCCAAGAGACTTGGCACCGCGCTACGCCACACACCTCTCCTGACAAAAGCACAGGGATTGGCTGTTTTGCCCATTTATAAGCGGCTGACGGATGAGAAGCTCCTTGCTCGATGCATCAAAGGGAAAACCCAGAACGCATCAGAATCCCTGAACAGCAAAATTTGGCTACTTTGCCCCAAGACTAAGTTTGTCTCCCGAACGGTTGTCGAGACTGCCGCAGCTATGGCAATCCTGTGGTTCAACAAGGGTCATGCTACTTTCGAGCACATCCTGGAAGAGCTCAACATACTGCCATCTAGAGATCTAGTTACTTTCAGTGATTCCCGCGATGTGAGGCGCATCAAGAGAATGTCCGAGCGTCTGACAGCAGAAGCAAGGGCCCACCGTCGTCGTGGAGTGAAAAGGGCACGGCTAGAAGAGAGTGCTCGCAAGGACCCTGAGGGCACAACCTATGCTGCACGACAGTTCTAGTAATTTGCAGTGCTTTTCAAAGTTCTGTTGAACATTATGGCCAAAGATTATGCATTTCTAACAACTCTATGATAAAAAAAAGGTTTCAAACTTTCAAATGCGTTTTTCTCCTTTTGCAGTTTTGTGTGATCTGTGCTTCTTATACACGCTAGGTCGTATACTTAGAATTGTCATACCTCTATGAAATTTTGCACATAGCATGATGAAGGCCCATAGAGTGCAAGTATCTATTCAGATTGTCAGTGCTGCTTGATTATGTTTTTCAAAAATTACATAACATTGAAAGCCCGTGGCAACTAGAGCCATAGTAAATTTTTCTATTTTACTATTGTATTTCCCCTTTTTACACACAAAATTTATATAGTTTTTTGCACTCTACAGTTCCAAAGGATCATAGTCAGCTATATCTGCATGCTTTATATCAAATTTTTATAGGTCAGAATTGTTGCATAACAATGGCCATAATTTTGCAGTATCTGACCTGCAGAAAGAAAACCAAGCAATCTACATGAAAATAAATGACATATTTGAAAAGAGGAAAAAAAACTCTATTAGCATGCCAATTTGTGTTAAATTCAGACTCTTATTAAAGAAAATCGTTTTTCGTATAGCATCTCCCCTTAACAAGTGAGCATGTTCAAGCATAGCCAAGAGGGCCGAGAGCATACCAGACTTAAAATGACATCATCTTCCTAGACACTGCTCTTCAATATATAATACTGTAATAGAACCACATAAAAAAATACACCTAAATGATTATTAATCATATAGCACTGGTCTCTCACTGCCCACTAACAGATGCCAGAAAAACCAGTGGTCTTTTAAAGATAGCCTGGAGGTTGCAAGCTCTTTGAAATAAAATGCAGCTTCTGCATGCAAGCATTCAGCTTTCCAGTAACATAGTGGGACTAGCCAATTGTAATTAAAGTTTCATGGTCAAATTGCAATGAGACTGCTAACAGTATAAGTCGTCCCGTGTACTTCTTCTCTGTTGTGTGTCGTTTTTTTCGCGCCCCGTATCATCATGAACCAGCACCAACTCGCCCAACTTTTTACTTTACTGAGTATAAGTATTAAGACCTGCTGTTGATGTGTGCTGGTAAGAAACAGGCTGCAAGGCAAAAGGCAACGTTTAACAAAGAGTTTACCACAGATACTCATAAAGATGGGATCAGGAAAGAGAGGTCGCACACAATGAACTTTTGTGTGTTCCCACCTGTCTTCCTCTATGCCAAGCTGTTAGGGTATGATATATCGTCAAAGCTACAAACCAACCCTTGCTAATGGTAACCACAAATGCAGCTATGCAGCAAGTGTTACACATTGTGGGTGTGACCTCTACCCTGAAATTAGTAAGTTTAAAGCTCACCTGAGCAGGTCCTGAAGAGCGGGATCATAGCTGACATTGCAGAGCCAATCCGGAAGCCCACCTAAGGAAAAATAAAACACTTGTTACTGTGCTGGAATGCAGTTCGATAGATTCCTTCAATGGGGAAGGGAGCCATGACTGTATGAATGAACTGCCAGCAGCACCAAGGCATTAGTATGAACACGTGGTCTTTCATTGTTCAATTTTCAATACGTGGTTTTTGTTGTCCATCAGGGCTGTTTATAGATCATGTGTGACTGAGCACACTGTGTGCAGGCCTTGTTAACCAGCTGCTCTATGTAAATAATTGCAACAGGTGTATGCTGACAAATACCCTCGAGAATGATTTCACGAGCAAGCTACATATTATCATGATATTATTGTTGTTTTCCTACATATATGATCTCCGTTTTCCTACTGCCTTGTCTCGCCATCTCATTGCTGACCACTGTTCGATTCATGACCATAGTGTCACGTGACAGTGAAGCAAGCATAACCACAGTAGGTATGGATGAAACACCTTATTGGCTGAACTTATCCCCAGAAAGAAAAAAAAACTGACACGTTCAGTACAACCATAGCCTTAGCCACAATCATCTGTCCTGCACAACAATGTGCATTCTCGCTGATGACGTCAGCTATGCGTATAGAACATGCCCGGCTTTCATCGATGCCTGGTTTCGCCAAGAGCCACTGGATTTATCAGCACTGCCAGCTATCGACGACCAAGCTTTCTGGCAACCACACCAATTGGAAGACAAAAAACTACTTAAGCAGATCCCCAGACCAGCCACTCCAGGATCTGGTGCCGCCATAGACGCCAGACGCTTACATACTAAATTCCTACAGCTTTTGCAGGTGGTGACTGCTTTGGATCTGACCTGCAACACAATGTGCATTCTTGCTGATGACATCAGCTACGCATATAGAATATGCCCGGCATTCATAGACTCCTGGTTTCGCCAAGAGCCACCTGATTTATCAGCGCTGCCAGCTATCAACGATAAAGTTTTCTGGCAACCACACTCATCGGAAGACAAAAAACTACATAAGCAGCTTCCTAGACCAGCCACTCCAAGATATGGCACCATAATGGACGCCTGGCGCTAACACACTGTATTTCTAAAAGTTGGTTATTCCTATTGTAATGTACACAGTACACCGATAAGAAAACTGGCATCAGATCCCACTGTACGCATGTATACGTTTACACTTGATTTGCTCATTTCTCTTTCGTAATATTTTCAAGATACTGCTGTTATACTTAAGATGTGTCTACTTCCCTGTGGTGATGTCGAAGAAAACCCTGGGCCTCTTTCGGCTAACCAGGAGCAGAAGATGTTTGAGGCTGTCTTGCAGATACCCTCATTGGTTCAAACCAAGGCGGACATACCAAACGAAATTCGCTCACTCCGGTCGGACCATCGGGCGATTGAGTTGAACGTGACTGACCTGGCAGTCAAGGTAGAATGTGCGGAGAGCTTCGCGTCGTCTGAACTCTCCCCTCTCCCACAGGGATGCAGTTGAAAAAGTGTCCACACGTGTTGGAACAATCAATTCATCAATTGAGGCACTTCATGATGGCCAAGATGACTTGGACAACCGGTCACAAAGGAATAATTTGATATTCTATGGCCTCCAGGATACTGCGAACGAAACGTGGACGGAATCTTAAGAAAAAGTTATGTCTTTTCTTTCTGAGAAACTGAATATTTCACTTGATACATCTATTGAAAGAGCGCACAGTATTGGTAAGTACACAGCAGGAACAACATGACCACTGGTTGTCAAAATCCTTTAGTTTAAAGATAAACGAGTACTTTCGGTTGCTCCAAAACTTAAAGGAACTGATATCGCTGTTAGTCAAGATTATTCCAGAAATGTTAGGACTGCTCACAGAAAGTTGGCCCAATTTGCACGCAACCCTAGTGGGTCTTTTAGACAGAAATTTAATAAGTTGATCATGGGAAATGAAGCTTTAGTGTATGACAGTAAAATTATGCCATAATCACAGAGGCCCAATAACCATCACCATGTGTTCTTAGTAAGAGACTGCAGCAGATGAATTACTTGAAGGTTGTGGTCGTTAATTGTCGCAGCATTGAAAACAAAAAGAATTTGATTCCGTCCTTGACTTAATTAGCCCCCACATAGTCATCGGCACAGAATCTTGGTTAGACGGCACCATAAGTAATAATGAAATATTTCCATTTATCTACACAATCTATCGTAAAGATTGTAACGTACACGGCGGTAGGGTCTTTGTAATGATACATAACAGCTTGAACAGCACGCATATTAACGTTCAAAGCACATCATGTGAGACAATATGGTGTAGGATTATCCTCATTAATGGCACTTCGTTAGCAGTCGGGTCGTTTTATAGGCCGCCTGGCTCCAATTCTCCTCCACCTTTATATGAGTTGAACAATGTATTGCTGTCCTTGGATGCAACGTATATTGTTTAGGGGGCGATTTCATCATGCGTAACATAAATTGGATCGGTCTTCTGCCAAACATCAGTACTTCATCACCTATTTACTCTGCCTTTCGAGAAATATTAAATGCGCATTCTCTGTTTCAATTTGTAGGAGTTACCACTAGAATCGCTGTCAACTCAGCAAATATGTTAGATTTATTATTGTGTTTCAACCGTACCTTCATTTCGGTTGTTGATTCATTACCAGGTGTAAGCTACCATGACATCTTTTTGCACACCTCTCTTGTCCTGTAATGTATCGCAGTAATGCATCACCGAGGCTGGTCTTGTACTATGGTAAGGCAGACTACGCTTCACTATCTCGCGAACTAGACGAATTTTTGCTCAGTTCTCCAAAAGCTTACTTCTGCGATCGACAAAGAATCCGCATAGAATCAGCTAAATACCAAACTTTTATCACTAGCATCACCATTCGTTCGGTCTCGAGTGATTACAACCAAGCTTCGAGCCGATAAACCATGGATAAGCAGAAATATTCGTGCTTTGATTAATAGACGACACCGCCTGTACCGCCGATAGTGCAGATCGCCGAAACCTGACCTTTACTACGACATGAAGGAACTCGGCAAAGAAATAGCAAAAAAAATGCACAAGGCAGAAAGCACTTATATAGAAACACTAGGTAAAAATTAAAAACTAATCCGAAAGGAGTGTGGAAGTACGTCAGATGCAAGTGTAGTTCACAAGATGCTATTCTAAATGTTATATACAACAATAACTATGGCGATTACCATAAAGCAAAGGCTGAACACTTTAACAGCTACTTCGAATCGGTATTCTTACAGTCTAATCCCCAGGCTAGAGGAGTACAAACTGCTCAGGATTTCTACCAGATGAGTGCAATAACCTTTTCAGAAGAGGAGAATAGCAAAACTACTGCTAAACGTGAACGTTGATTGATTGATATATGGGGTTTAACGTCCCAAAACCGCTAAAATTGAACGTGAAGTCAGCAGCAGGACCTGATTACATTTCAAACTATGTAATAAATAACTGCGCTGTGTCACTTGCCCCTTTCCTCGCGATAAACTTTTTCAAAAGTCGTTTGATTCCGGAACCTCGCCGAACGACTGGAAAACTGCAAATGCCGTTCCTATTTTCAAGAGCGGTGATAACACAAAAACCAGAAACTATAGGCTCATTTCACTTAGTATTGCGTCATGTAATACACTAGAGCACATTACTTATTCCAACTTGATGACTAATCTTCAAGAAAACAAATTTTTCAGCCCAGCACAGCACGGTTTCAGGAGGGGGCTATCTTGTGACACGCAATTAGTCGAGTTTTCTCATGACATAGCCTTATCATTCAATCACGGCAAACAGGTTGACTACATCTTCTTAGATTTTCAAAAGACTTTTGCCTCTGTAGCATATATACTGTTGCTGATAAAACTATCTGTACTAAATATTCCTACAGTTCTTTTTACATTTGATTGGGGCTTATCTTGCTGACTGAAAACAGTGCAGTGTTCTTCATGAGACGAGTTCATCATATACAGCAGTCTTATCAGGTGTTCCTCGAAAATCGGTTCTGGGACCGCTTCTTTTTCTAATATTGATTAATGATATAGGTTAACAGGTGTCATGTCAGGTTGTATGCCGACGACTGTTGTCTCTACTGCGAAATTATTTTCCTGAGGGACAGTGTCAAGTTACAAAGTGGCCTTGATACGATACTACAACAGTGTAAGAAGTAAAATATGAGGCTGAATTTCACTGAGTGCAAAGTTGTCCAGTTTACTAACGAACGTCACATTTTTGACGGCACAAATTGTCTTGACAGTGAAAATCTGTCAATTGTATCAAATTGCAAATATTTAGGTGTTTTGTATAAAAATCTTTTTTCATGGAATGACCACATTAACTATGCAGCAGCCGAGGCTGGCTGTGTTCTCAACTTCCTAAAGCGAAACTTCAAGAAAGCACCTCCTAGGTTGAAAGAAACTCTTTACCTTTCAAACATGCATACTATTTTAGAATACAGGATGCTCTGCATGGGACCCAGGACAAACGAACTTGCATTGTCGAATTATAACGCATTCAGAAGCATGCAGCACGGTTCGTTTCCTGGAACCATGACTTTTCAATAAGCTCCTCTGGTATTAGAGCCAATCTTGAATGGCCCACTTTGCAAGATACACGATAATACATATGCCTAAAGCCCTCTCACGAAATTTTTATTTCAGCAACAGGCATTGTGAAGAAAACATATATTCTTGATCCTACATACAGGTCAGCCCGTTGTGATCATTCTCTAAAGGTGAGAGAATATAGCTGTTGCATTAACATATATAAGCATTCCTTTTTTCCAAGAACATGCCATCATAGGAATAGTCTACCGGAGAAGGTTATCCTGTCGCCAATCCTGTTCTTTCGACAGTGCCTTTGCTGAAGTTCTGCTCCACTAGGTATCACGTCACCTCTGTACGGCACTCAATAAATTTGTCTATTTATGTTTTTTTTTCATCTTTTTTACTTTTTTGTAGTTTTGTGGTAATGTACTGTTCTAGGTTTGATGCAATACATTTTTCGAGTGATCTGTAATTTTAACACATGGC